ACTAATGAAAATGAAATGCCTCGTTATCGGTAAAAAGGCTATCCGGTTTTCGCCACTCGCATACGAAACTCGGTTGCCAATCAGCTTGCCAAGCGCGGCAAAAATGGCAAATATCCCCCTTTATGAGGTAATCCACGGGTCTCCCCCGTATGTATGTTCAACAATGGACTTTAATAGGCAGCATTATGTTGATATTATGTATTGGTTCATTTAAACAATAATGTCGGCCACACTGGCTTTACGTGATAGAGCCATGCTACAGCTATATTGTGGTTGAAGCACGAATGTGTCGGCTTGACCGGGAAGGACTACGCTCTTACAGGACGCTAGCTTAAAATAGCAGCTTGATGCTGTTACCAGGAGCCAAAAAGACCCCTTTTACGGCATTCTAGCTTAATCCTCAATGGTGACAGCACATCTGCATTTTGATTATTAATCGAGAATTGATTTAGATGTCTATGGGTCACAGTATCCAGTTACCATCAGGTGTGTGGATTAATCACTCTTATTCTATAAAAAAGAATATGATACTGATCACAAGTACAAGCTATTTTCTAGAATATGTGTAAGAGTGTGAAACGGGTATGATGACACGTAGTTATCCAGGAAGTGCACTAAACATAATATTATGCAAATCGTAATAATATAATACGTCCAGTAAAGAGTAAACAAAACAAATAAAGAATGCATCAGTTATAGCAGCACAGCGGCACTGTGGGGCTTCCAACAAGGACACCATGATTTTAGAATAATTGAGAGATACGTGTACCAGATGTGGTAAAAATTATACTCTAGTAAGAATTTATCGTAGTTAAATAATAAATAAATAAAATTAAAAACCGGCGATATACGCTTCCAATAAGCACATCATGATTTTATGATAGTTATGAGATATGTCTGCCAGATGTGATAACATTTGAACCCTAATTAAGCTTAGTAAAAAATTATAAAAGTAGTAATGTTCTACAGACCGATTTTCGATCACGGCGGTCTGCCTCAACGGAGACTAGCCATCGGCGTAAGACAGGATTATGTGCACTCTATTCTCTCACTCTCTTAATACGAACCTAAACCAACACGACCGGAGAGAGATCAGGCACAGGACCTTTACGTGCAGCTTTACGTGCGTTCCGAGCTCCGCATCAGCAGCCGCACTGCTACAACCATTACACCAAGGTAGTAAACAGTAATCTAAACTATTATAATCCACATTACAAGATAGTCCATAATTTATTATTGTATTTTCCTTTATGCGTGCTGTATTTTATGTGTTACAACTGTGGGCAAATATCGCCCTTATTTGGTAATATATAGGAGAGGCTTTTGATGAGCAGTGTATTTTGATAGGTTTGGTTTGAAAGGCAAGCGTGGCGATAATCGTAAATCTTCCCCACAATGGGATATGCCCACGCCCATTCGCGGTTTTATGTAAGCTGTTGATAAAGATAATGGTGGGTTTTATAAAAAATAGCACGGCAATAAGCGTTCGGCGTAAATGTCACTGTATGCGAACAACCCCAGTTCGAACTTCGCCGGCGCTAAATGAAATGGTTAATGATTTACCACGTGCTCGGTTTTCTTCACCGCTGAAGAAAAACGTATCCTGCATGTCTGAGAAATTAAAATATATATTTTGAAAACAGTGCCCCAACAATTCGCGTAGTGCGGCGGATATTTCCTTGTCCTAAAAAACTCTCAAGAGATAGAGAAAGCCTTTTACCCAGCTGTGGGACGTAGTAGTAAGCTATAACATAACTTTTTACTTAGATTTTGAAAATTAACCATGGTTACCAAAAAATAGATTCAACATTTTTTTATAAAAAATCTAATTAAAAATAAACTATATTTGTTTACGAACAGTAGTCCACTCAAACCAAAGCAGATGGTTGCCCTAACCATCGAAAGTGTGCCGAGTGAGAGGTTGTTACGAATATTCGGTGTTCGACCTTGTCCCCGTTGTGGTGTTACGTGGCGCCGGCTGTAATGGGTTTTGTGGGCACGCTCTGCGCTGCGACCGGTGTTGAGCTGTCGCAATGTACACGTGGTGAATTGTACTTGATACTTTGTGGTTTAGTTGATGAAACATCGGTATTGTTTATTGTGTAAGCCCGCGAACCGTAGCTTAGAGACGGGATTAAGTTATAATAATGCAATCGTAATGTTCTCTAGACCCGAATTTCTGTTACGGAGTTGGTCTTGCGCACTCGACTAACAAGTCTAAAGCGTTGATAAGCGTTCTGTAGGTATGGTTACGTGGTAGAGCCATGCTAGCTTAACGTAGCTGTGTCTCGTATGTTGATTGCGGAGAACCGGATACCCTGTTTACTTGAAACGAGGCATCCCGTCTTAGTTCTCACGGGGGACAACGTGTTTGTATTTTGATTCGTAATCGAGGATGGACGTCTCTGGGCCACATCAGCTACTTACCATCAGGTGGACTGTTTGCTCGTTTGGCACCCTTATCCTATAAAAAAAAAAAAGATTTTTCAAGAGCACGACATAGGTACTAACCAAGATTGAAACATCCATAAACACGAAAACTGTAAAATAATTTTCAATAAAGTACATTATAGTATATACCTGCATTTTCGTGTCTTTAACTATTTCTGGAGGTTGTGATGCTTATACCGCGTAGTGGTGTTATAAGAATATCTATCCCATATCGTCCTGTGGCGTGGGGTGGGAGATGAGTGTTACGTTTGCGCATTAAGGGTCCGCAATCAAGGTCCGCATTCTCTTGTATATTCCCCCCCTATGAGGCATTCGAAGGTTGAGGCACTCAGCAATAGACTTTGAATAGGTGGTAACGGTACGATAATGCATTTAATTTGAAATCTTAAATATGACATTAGCTATACCTATATTAACGATCTTGCAAAAATGTTGGACATGAAAACTATATTTCCAAATATTTCTTTAATCATACAAAATTAAACTAATGAAAACTCAAATATAGTAATACGTAATGCTTTTCACAATGTAACAGTCTGGTTACAAAGACACAATTTAGAAATAAACTAATACAACTAAATCATTTGCATTTAAAATCGTGTTGCAAAAGTAAATGGAATAGTCGGAAAGGAGTTAGGAAAGTTTAGATATTTTGAAAATGGGCCAAGTTAGGAGTACCCTTAACCAACGCGACGAGCATGTATGCGTAGAGTATACGAATGTGGAGGAGGCGAGAGAGGTATATCAGGATCGTGCCAAACGGAAGTCTGTGGTCTCTGCCTACCCCTCTGGGTGACAGGCGTGAGTGTTTCTGTAAATCATTAAAATAATATTATAGAGTTATTTTAATGATTTACAGAATAGCATAGCTTGCTTATAAATATTCTAAGGATAATACACAAAGTTACAAACCATACTTCGTAAAACATAATCTGCCAATTTTAATAGCTACATAGGTCTTCACAGTTATCTACGTTCATATTCACAAACCATAATATTTTTTCTAAAACAAAAGAAACACATAATATAACACGCAAAATAAAGAACAACGTTACTTACCTGCATTCACAATCAAAATGTTAAATTGCAGTTTTAATAAATGTCCTCTGTTTATAAATAATTAAAAATAAATGAAAATGAAAACAATTTGCGTAAATTTATTAAGAAATTAAATTGATACAAAGCTGGTTTTACAATGTGGAAGAATATCTACAAAATTATAATTCTCTACGCAAAGTGCAATTATGTATTCTTTATTTTTTATTACATAATTTAAATTGTTTCCTTTGTAATTTAATTTACTTTTCGTAGTGTAATGTAATTAATTAACAACATACGATAATTTTAATTCAGTATGTATCTTATGTTAAGCACAGGCTTATAAAGTATAACAAATATTGTAATACCCGAAAAGTGGAGGTGGTTAAGTTGTAAGACACGTAATATTATAATAAATTTACATTATATAACAACAATAAATTAATATACATAATAGGTTATCTAATTTAATTGTCGAAAATAATTTATGTTAATGTTCCTAATTGTCCATTGTTGGAAACAAATTTAACTTAGCATTGAGTATTTCTGCATATTAACTACAAAACATAAACTATCCGTTCCTATTCCGTCCGAGTTACCATCATACAATTTATATGTAGAGTTCACAAAGTACAACCATACAAGTCAATTCAATACAATAAGTGCCTTTAAAAACTTAGTCATTAGGATTTAAAATGTATCAGATGAAAAGAGTTCTTTCAAATCAATCATAGATATGTAACTTGTTATTGCAAAATATCTATGTTGTGATTTTCAGTCATTTTATAAACAAGTTGAACACTGAAAAATTGTAGGTTTACAAAGTTATGAACTATAAAAATGTCTCACGATAACATATCTTTTACACCTTGCTGAGTATTACGTTGCTGTGATAGTAAATTCTCAAATAACAATGAAAAAACGTAACTAATGGGAATTAAATAATGGTAATGGCTTGGGTGATACCAATCGTAAAATTTCACTCAATAGTGTTATGTAGAAGTTTTAAAACCCAAGTGAAATAGGAGAAGAAAATTATATTTAAATTAATAGTAAGAATTACTTACTAGTATATTTGTGATGTAGGTGGATACAATGGAAACTGTCAATAAGAAGTTACAGTATTTTATAACCTTTTTGTACTTTAAATAAAGTTGCTATTCTTGATTCTTGATAACACTTAACTTATTATAAATATTTTGAATTTGTTGTCCATGGGATGCGGTAGACACTTGGCAATTGGCAAAAAGTGGACTACGAGTCTGCTTGTTACTTTGTATTGGAAAAGAATAATATCGAAGTTTATAGCAGGGTTCTATTATCAGCCAACTGATTATATTATTCCGCGTTGATGGATTTACGCGAAGGTTTATTTTGTGCGATAAGATTAAGTTCTATTCGTTTTTATCAGTACTTGTTGTTTGTTATAACACTACCGTTATAGCTTACAGCGTTCCTAGAACGGCCGCTAATTTCGTTTCACATAACCAATTATTCATTTTGTTGGACAGGTCGGGATCCGCGAAACCACGGCGTCCAGATCGTGCGGTCTACGTGCCTAGAGCGTTGCGGGGAACCGACGCCAGCTCGTCCGACGAAGCGAAGGCTGACATCCAAAGGCGGACTAGTCACAGCGCCGATCCAAAGTGTCCAAAGTCCCCCGGCCCCAGGGACAAGTCGGTGCACGGAACGCCCAAACGTTCCATAGACAAGAATTTCTGCAACGTTTACACACCGCCACCGCTCAGGAACCAGAGATCTCACACAGCCCCAAGTATAGGCAACCGGGCGACGGCGAACGATACAAACGAATCTGTGCCTTCTGGCTGCCAAGTGCCAAATAGTGATAGTGCAATATCGTTTAGTGATAATAGTTATAACGACGTAGAAGTAGGAGAGAGTTTTTATATAGGAGATTATTTTGCTAATGGACAGCTCGGGTTCTTTACTCCGACTTTTTACGAGTACGCGGACAACCGAGAACTTGAAGACGGCAATTTTGCAAATGAATCTAATTTAAATATGGCGGAACAGGAAACTCAACAGAGGATCATAGACGGTGATTATATTTACAGTAAAGATGAAGACGCCGAAAAGAATGAGTTGAAGAGAGCGTCGCTAGAGATAAACAGAAGTAGCAAGAGGATAATTAAACAGAGCTTCGATTCAGATGTTCTCGTCATATCGGATCCGGTGGAGGAGACGAAGGAGAAGGACGAAAATGAGTTAAGCGAGGCGAAGGAGATAGAAACGAAGACTAAACCAAAACTAGAGGCAAAAGTGTCATTGAAACGCGAGGATAACGACTGGGACGCGGTGTTCGATGACAGTGGCGAATGCTTAGACCCGTCTCTCCTCGAGGAGTTGACCTCAACGGTTGGGAAGGTGCATATAAGCAAAGCGAAGAACAGTTATGAACAGTATCAGACAAAAGGGCAGGCGTTGTTCAACGGGCCGTATGATGAGACGTTCGCCCATGTGGTGGAGGTGTACGACTTCCCCAGCGAGTTCAAGACTAACGATCTGCTATCTCTCTTCAGTGAATATAAAGACACCGGGTTCGAGATCAAGTGGGTGGACGACACGCACGCGTTGATCGTGTTCAGCAGCGCTAAAATCGGTAAGTGTTTTTTGTTATATATTAACCTCTTTTTAATATCAATTGCTCATCATACTCATTAATTAGATAGGAGATAGGAATAGACTACCAAAGATGAAATTTTCCACAATTTCGATTTTCTTTTGTAATGTGTATAATTTTAGTAGAAAACGACTAATAGACGATCCTCTTCGGAGGAAGGCTTAAAGCGGTTATTCAATATCTAATACACATAAAATGCACTCTATGTTATAAGCGAACAAATTGCATTGATAATCAAATAGGTTTGAAAACTTACGACGACTCAAAGTTGCATCATTTTAAATTGTCGAGTCGTAACAGACCGTGGATATAGGAGTAGGGTTGCCACCCGTTCCATAAAATATATACTATATTTCAGTCAATTGAAAAATAATACAGTACGAAAAGTAAGTAGTTAAGTATTTTTATCCCTAATTCAACTGTCGAATTTGTTTCGACAAATAATTAAGTCAAGAAAAGTTAGGAATTTTGGAACAAGTAAGTTTTTCAGAAGGATTTTTTTTCCATCATGAATTAAATATGAATTGTTCATTAATTTTAATATGAATATAAATTGCTCAGATTCCTATAGTTATTTTAAAGAAGGTAATGTGGTTAGATCATTGTCGGCCAAAACAAAGATCAATAAAAATATATTATATGAAAGAAAATAATAAAAACAAATGTGTACTTTTTTTCTTCTGAATTTCTCAAAGTACTGTATTTTGCATGTTTTTAAGGATAAATACTACTACTATATTTGTTCAAAAAAAAAGCAACCCTACATGGGACAGATATTAATGTCTTATCTTTCGTTTACTTTTTAGATTATTTTTTTTATTATTTATAAAATATTATGTATGATTTTATTATCTATCTAATACATTTAAACGAGCAATTCTTGTATGTATATACATACTAGCTTGCCAGGCAGACGTTGTTCTGCCCTTTTCGACGACCCTTTGTCATGTCTTATAAAAAATCTTTAAATTCCCAAAATATAACCTGTGGGTCACGCATGGGCAAAAAAACTATACTATCTCTCAAGGTGGACCAAACTGCGCACGGTGTGCAAATTTGACTAAAATCGGTTAAGTAGTTTAGTAGTCCATCGCGGACAAACAACGTGGACAACACGTAATTTATATATATTAAGATATAATCGGAATGTCGGAAACGACTCCAACGATTTTCATAAAATTAAGTGTTCAGGGGGTTTCGGGGCAATAAATCGATCTAGATAGGATTCATTTTTAGAAAATGTCGGAGGCAATGAAAAACTGCTACAACATCATTAGAATAAGAAGGTAAATTTTGGCAATGCGTTAATGATTATAAAAGCTCAGCTGGAATATCGGGCGGTCCAAAAGTCGTAGTACTCTGTTTCCAGTCCTGTCGGTCCGACGTTTTTTCCTTTTTCTTTTTCAAGTTCCCTTCTTTTGTGAGAAAATCTATTATTTCGAGCCCTTTTTTGTATTTTTCTAAAAACACGAAAATTTAAATTGAGCTCATGATTTTTTATTCAAATAACTCGTGCCAGTAAGCAAAGTGTAGGGTGACCCCGGTAGATAGTGACGACCTGGTAAGACATGCAGAAAGTCGATGGATACAGGTGACTCAGGGCAGTGTTTTGTGGCAATTCTGAAGGGGGGGGGGGGAGGCATGCGCGGTAGTGGACTCGTAAATGGCTGTAATGAATGAATGGATGATCCTATTATTGCCTACTCTACTGCTACCCACTGTGTAGTAGCGACGCAAAAAATTCACTACGCCATTTTTTTATAGAATAAAGGAGATAAACGAGCACACTGTCCACCTGATGGTAAGTGGATGTTGTGGCCCATAGACATCTCACCTGGATTAAGTATCAAAATGCAGATGCGTTTTCACAGATGTCATGCCTCGTTTCCAGTAAAAGGGGGTCTCCGGTTCTGTACACTCACCATACGAAATACAGCAGCATTACGCTGCTATTTTACGCTGGTATTCTGTGAGAGCGCGGTCGCTCCCCGGTCGAGCCGACCCATTCGTGCTGCAACCACAATATAGCTGCAGCGTGGCTCTACCACGTTCGAACTATATCAACCCGCAGGTGTCGTAAGGGACATGAGATGTACATAAAATAGGATGTGGCCAGTAGCATCTGAATAAAACTATTACATGGTAGAGCCACGCTGCAGTTATATTATGATTATAGCACGAATGGGTCGACTCGAGCGGAGGTATGACTACGTACTTACAGAATACCAACGTAAAATAACAGCATAAAGCTGCTGTTTCATATGGCGGTAAAGAACCGTAGGCATTTGTCATCCTAATCCTATGAATTCTATAAACAAAGAAATGAATGAGTAATGACTCGGAAAAAAGTAAAACTTAAGGGGAAATATAACCTCAAATGGCTTAGCAAGATTCTCCGTTATGCCGAAAGTATTGCAGCATTAATTTTGAAATAAATATATGGTAAAGTTGAGGATTAATGTAAACTTTGCATACTAACTGAACTAACTATAAAGCAGGGCTTGTGTTTATTCTTTGTGTTATTTCTTTTAAATAACCATTATTTTCACTGTAAAAAGAAATTACCTAAACTATCGGCGCCTTGAAGCTTGATTCCTGTCGCTGTCACCCCGTTAGTATCGCTTAGGTTTTTGAAGGGAGAATTTGTGTCGCTTACGATCAGAATACACATTACGTAACAGGACGACGTAAAATTAAAATGGGAAATAACCGTGATAAAAATAAGAAGTGACTGTGTTGGCGTTAAGAAACAGGCATAAATATGATAAACCTAAAGATATAAGTATCTAACGACCTTTCTACTTACGGTATTAGTGATTACAAACATAGCATACGACGCGCGGGGAAGTGGGGGCGAAATTAGAATTTGAGCTGACTTACTATATCCCCTTAAAGTACCAAAACGTCGCAATGTTGCGACAAGTGTTGTTCGCAGGCTCTGACGTAAACACGTTTTTGTTGTTTCTAATACATGTGACCTTGAATTTGCCTCTGATCATTGACCCTGATCGATAAACTGTGTTTGCGACATTTTATTGGTGGTTTTGCTGTTTTACTGATAATAACTTTGCTACTGCTTTATCAGTCCTTTTATTGCCAGGTACTTCTCTTATCGTAGGATTGATTTTGTCTTATTATGTAGGTTGGACAGACGGATTGGCAGATATCTCGCACTCTTGAACATTGTTCTTCGTATTGGATTAATTAATTTTGAATTAAGCGTGTATTGATTTAGAATACTATGGAAATAATTAGAAGAGTTCACATTTAGCCACATTATAACTTTTCATATGAGAATACCTTTTTTTAACTGATTTCAAAGAAATGAGGAGGTACTCAATTCGACTGTATGTTTTTTATGTTGTGTGTTACATCAGAACTTGTTTCTAGATGAATTGAATTAGATGATTTTTTTTTATTTGAAAGCTGATGCTTCTCAACTTCTCATGTGGTCCCTAAATTTGATCAAGATCTGACCAGTAGTTTTATAGTTATCCTATATAATGCGTGTTTAATTGACTTCGATTTCATTGATGATGTTCTCATTTTATTTATATTGTAGTCCGTTGTACAAATTTTTTAATTTTACCACTTGTAGTAGCTATGCAGATTTAATATTTTGTAATAAGTGAAATGTATAAAAGCTGTTGGTGTTCCGAATAAAATAAATTAAAATAAATAAAAGAAGCTTTGCTTAATGCTTGTCCAAGTTGCTAGTTTTCTGTTTCTTCAAAGATATCTTAGATAGCGGAGCTGGGAAGGGACGCTCTGGATCAGTGATTCCCAACCAGTGGTCCGCAAGAGCTTAAATATGGTTCGTGAAAGATTTAAATATTTTGCTTACCTAATCGTCTGTCATTGAATCAAATAATACTGTTATTGAATGCTTTTTTTTTCAGTTTATTGCATAATAATGTTAAAGTTGTGATTAAAATTTATTTTTAGATTAACATATTTTTTTCTTTCGCTTAGTGGTTCGTAATAACAACAAAAAATTCAAAGTGGCCCCTGGTCAAAAACAGGTTGGGAAACTCTGCTACGAAAGTTTATCTACCAAATTGGCGATATATTGAAAATGGGCCAAATTAGGGGTACCTTTAAGGCGTTTCCCCTAGCGAACGACCTTGAGCGTTCGGTCTCTCGCTACAATATATAGCGTAAGAAATCTTCAAGACGCCACCTACAGTATGAATGTAGTATTATTTTTTCAACATCAATAAACTATTCAATGGAAATAGACACGGCATACAATGATAAATGTATTTTAATTTTCTTTATTCGGTATATTAGTTGCATTATATTAGAATTATGTATTCTCATATCTTATAATTACGCGACACCGTGCCTAGTGTTGGTAAAAGAATATCCACTGGCCTATATTGTCCCGTCGCGTCGGTGTCGTATAAGCCAACAGAAGGTAACAAAGCAGAGGATGGGCTGCATCATCTTCCCGATGACAGTTCAAAATATTAAAAGGCAGCGGTTGCAATGAAAAATTCTCCCCACGAGGCAATTTATGGCAGAGGGGCCTATATTTAGCAGTGGACTTATGTTGTGATTGATGGATGGACGAACATTTACGCGAACACTACACATTGAATTAAATTACTTATATATCATTGATTTAATAACTCAATGCTATATATATTTTATTACGTTTTTTTACTTATTTTAACATTCTGAAATTTCGAGTGCTTTGCCTTTAGTCACGGGGAAAACAGTGAGGTGTTTGATGTCTCTATGTCATAGTAAATCCAGGTTACCTTCAGTTTTTTTTAGTTAGATTGGCTTAACTGATTGACAATATTAATGTATGAAAATTCAAATGACTACAGCACTGAATAACATAACAAAACTAGTTTTTCCCCACGGCTTTGCTCGCGTAGACGTCGTTTTACCAACACTAAAGTAGATTTCTGACTACGCTATAATATAAAGCATATAGTATATATAGCTCATGGCACAAACAATATCGCGCA